CCCTTCTCCCCCCCCCCATCTTCCCTCTCCTCCTCCCCACCCCCTGGCACAGGCACAGGGACATGCACACCCCGTCTTCCCAGCAGTCACCAGGCCTCTCCCCAGCCCGACGCGTGTGCCCAAGGATTGCACAACAGTTACTCTGGCCCTCAGGGCTCGGGTTGGGGGTCAGGGCTGCCTTGGGAGCCCGCCTTCCCTCCCAGGAGCACTCAGTCGCCCCTGGACGGGGAGAGGGGTGAAGGTTAGGTGTGGGAGTCCGAGATGTGCCTCCAGCCCCTCTATCTGGAGCTTAGGGATTGGAGGTCAAGGGTCAGAGACAGGGTGGCCAAGCCCCTGAGCCCATCACCTTCTTGAGACAGAACTGACTCTTCCTGGGACCACCTCCATCCTCCCCTGCCTCCCCCACCTCCTTGGTCCGGGGGGGAGGGGGGTGGCGGGGGACAGGGCCAGGTCAGGGGGCTAGCTGGTGGTGCTGTCAGGCCAGGCCCAGCGGGGAGCCGGGAGCCCAGCACTGGGTCTTCGGGCAGCCGGGCAGCCAGGCAGCCGGGTGTCAGGGCTGTGGTGCCTCCCTGAGGCTCTGAGGCCCCACTGGGGTGGGCGGCTGGGGTAGGTGAGGGGAGGGGGCTGCCTTTAGGCCGGGAAAGCTGAGTCAGGTGGGCAGGCCCTGCCAAGCCCTTCCCGGGGCTCCCCACCCTTGCTGCGTGGAGATGGAGTGAGAAAAAGGAAAGGGACCCTTTCAGAGGAGCCCAAGTCTGACACCCGCCTGAGGCTGCCACTGTCACCCAGAGCAGGAGCAGGGGGTGCCCCGGCCTGCTGCCCTGAACTTCCTGGGGTCCCCTGGTCCTGCTTTTTCACCTCGTCTCCATCTGTCCCAGCCTCAGCCCTGCCCTAACTCCAATCCCACACTCAACCAGGTCCTACGCAGCCCCAATCTCAGCCCCAGGATGTCTCCGGCCCCAGCCTAGCCCCAGCCCTAACGGCGGCCCTAGCCTCTGCCCCACCCCTGGCCCCCGCCTCCGCCTGGCCTCTTGCGGACCTTCAGGCCCTGGGCCCAGACTCTTCGGTCAACAACCATGTCCTCTGTGCCAGGCCGAGTGCTGGGGACCCAGACTTACAGCAGCCTTCGTCCCCAGGAGCTCCCAGGCTATGGGCGAGACCCCTGGCCCATTGCCTCCTGCTCTCAAGGCTTTACTATCCCAGTCAAGGCTTCCCCCATGCCAGTCTCCCCATCTCCTTCCCCACCACCTCTCTGCCGCCGCCCTCCCCATTCTCGGCCCAGTACCCTGCCCTGGAGCTCAGGCCCGCCACCGAGCCCCATCTATAAATAACCGTTCAGGCCCCACCGATCACAGCCCCACACGGGCCCAGCCTCAGCCCGCCAGGGCACGCTCTGAGGACCCAATGGCCCCCTCGCTGGTTCTCAGGCCAGAGCTCCAAGGAGGAAACACCAACTTCCCACTGATAGCAAGCCTGGAGGGCAGCCTGCGGGCTGGCGGGCGGGCGGGCGGGCCCCCGGGGGCCACAGGTAAAAACAGGTTGGGCTGGTGGAGGAGCCCCAGTACTCACAGGGGGGACGAGGGGAAACCCTTCCATTTTGCACGCCTGTAACATCCAGCCGAGCTCCGGTCCGGTCCGGTCCCCTGCCTCGGTGGGGGCCAGTGCGGAGCCCCTTGGGATGGGAAGCCCCGTCAGGGGCTGGACTGACTCGGCGGGCGCAGGGCTCGGGCCTGCCCCTGAGCTACAGGCGCCCTGCGTGAGCCCCCTCCCTTGACATTGCAGGGCCAGCGCAAGTTCCTGATTTTATCGAAGGGCCTGCCACTGGGAGATAGTCCCCTTGGGGTGACATCACCACCCCAGCCCGTTTGCATAAATCTCTTGCGCTACAGGAAGTCTCTGGCCGCTGGGGCAGGTGGTGCTGCAGGGGCCGGCCTGGAAGGCTGTGGGGGCCAGGCCCCCTGCCCGGAGGAAGCTGGGACTGTAAGGGGCGGCCTTGGGGGCTGGGTGGGGAGGAAGAGTGGGAGGGAGGAAGGCTAGCTCTACCACAGGGAGGCCTTTGCTGCCCCCAGGCTGTGCTGAGGCTCTAACCCGGCGGTTCTCAACCTGTGGGTCGCGACCCCTTTGGGGGTCGAACGACCCTTTCACAGGGGTCGCCTAAGACCATCGGAAAACACATATATAATTACATATTGTTTTTGTGATTAATCACTATGCTTTAATTATGTTCAATTTGTAACAATGAAATTGGGGGTCACCACAACATGAGGAACTGTATTAAAGGGTCGCGGCATTAGGAAGGTTGAGAGCCACTGCTCTAACCCCTAACCCCACAAATGTTTCCTTCTCTTGAGACCCCCCAGGTGGCCAACAGTCACTTTCATGGGTCAGGGCTGGTAGGGTGGCCTCTTGGGGCCTCTACTTTCTGGGGTCAGCCTGGCTGGCGAGGGCTGATCCAGCAGATGCCAGGCCCCCACGCCTTGGGTTCCACCCAGCCTGGCGCTGGGCTCCCGGACAGGGTCCTCAGCACAGTGCGCTTTCCACCTCCCCCATCCCAAACCCTTCCCACCAGCCCTCCTTCCTCCGACGGGTGGGTCCTGGGTTCTTACCCACCCCTCCCAGTTTCCTGAATATCGCCACTTCTTCCATATCCCTGGGGGCTCTATTCCCAGCCCAGATTTCTGTTTCCTCACCCCTTGCCAATGCCTGAATATCGAATCCAGTCTTTCTAGTTTACTAACCTTTCTTGTCTGTCCATTCATCTATTTTCCCACCCATTTGTTTATCTATCTGTTTGTCCAACCATCTATCCACCCATCAAGTCAGTCATACATTCATTTATCTATCAGTTTATCCAACTGTCCATTCATTCATTTATCTGTTAGTCCATTCATCCACTCACCTATCTGTTTATCTACTTGTCCATCTAGCTCACTATATATTCATAGATCAGCCCATTCATGTGTTATTAATCCATCAGTCTTTCTACTGTACATCCAGCTATCAATCTGTTCATCCATTAGTCCATTTATCCACCTACTCATCCATCCATCAACCTATTCATCTCTCCACCCATCCATCCATCTATCTTGTCACCCATTCATTTACCCACCCACCCATCCATCCATCCACCCACCTGCTCATCCATCCATCCACCCATCCATCCATCCACTCATCCTTTTATCTGTGCACCCTGCCAATATTAATTGAGTTCCAGGCTCTATGCTGAGTTCTGGGAAAACAGAAAAGTAATGAACAAGATCCCTGCCTTCAGAGAGCTCCTGATCTAGTCTGGAGAGCAGCGAGATGAATAAAGACACATTTTGACCCATTGGTGTCCAGTGAGTCCAATTGCCTCCCATGTGTAGTCTAACCCCTTGCTTTATATCCCCTTCCCACTAAGACTGACCTACCTCCTTCCAGTCAGTAGAACCCCAGACCCCCAAGTGTTTCTTCACTGGCAGCAAAGACCAGGGATCATAGGTCTAGGTCAGTGGTCGGCAAACTCATTAGTCAACAGAGCCAAATATCAACAGTACAACGATTGAAATTTCTTTTGAGAGCCAAATTTTTTAAACTTAAACTATATAGGTAGGTACATTGTTATTAACTTAATTAGGGTACTCCTAAGGCTTAGGAAGAGCCACACTCAAGGGGCCAAAGAGCCGCATGTGGCTCACGAGCCGCAGTTTGCCGACCACGGGTCTAGGTTCACCATTCGATCACTTCCATCTTCACCGATTTTTTGCATCCACACTTGGGATTCTCCAGGGGTTCCAGGTCGCAAGTCCCCAGGACACCCTAGGAACCTGACCCAGGCCCCTCCCCAAGAAGAGGGGAGAGGCAGGCTGACTTGACATCCGCTCCATCCTGCTCTCAGCTTCCCTGTGGAGAAGGCAGAGTCCCAGCTAACTGGAGGTGCGTGAGGGTGGGTCTGCTCCATGAGAACCAGGTCCTGCTTGATGTCTCCATTCATTCACTCATTCATTCATTCGTTACTCTCTTGGTTTGGTTTGTTGAATGCTTATTTATCCACTAACTCATTCATTTAATCACTAACTTCCCATGTGCTGAACACAGACATGAATGAGGCATTCCCTGGGCTTCCAGGAGCTCACAGGCTACAGATAACAGACATACAAACACATAGCATTCTGGGGAGGTGGGGGCACAAGAGGGAGGTGCTAGGTACACTGAGGAACAATTAATTTGGCCAGGACTCAGGGAGGAAGGCGTGCAAGGGAAAGGGCATTGTCTGGCTGAGGAGCCAGCCTGAGCAAAGGCCAGGAGGTGGAAAAGAACAGGGAACAGTGAGCCGCCATCCCTGTGGCTGGAAGGCAGACAGGACAGGGAGGCGAAGGGCTTTGAGAGTCAAGCCGAGGAGCCGGGGCTGCATCCAGGGGCGACTGTGGAGCCTCTGCTGGTCGTAGGCAGGGAGTGTGCGCTCTTCTCTGTGCTGCAGGCGGCACACCAGGTCGGCCATGTGTTTCTGGGGCCTAAGTCTCAGGAGACCCCAGGAGAAAGAGATTCCATTGTCCCAAGACTGGCCAAGCCCAAGAGCCCCGAGTAAGGAAGCCCCCCAAAAAGGTCCAGGGCCCAAATCTCTGGAAATGGGCAGAAGGACTCACTGTCTGCACAACTCGAGCCTCCCTTTCTATTCACACACCAAGTCCTCCCCATCCTTCCTCCCATCCTCCCTCCCCCAAAGCCTACCAGAGGCCTCTTCCCAAGACCTCACATACCCAGGGGCCTGCTGTCATCCAAAGCCTTCAGAACAGGAGGGCCCGGATTCTGAGCAATTCCAAGCAGACCATCCACAACCCCAGGGCTACCAGCTCCTTTAAAAGGAGGGAAATTCTTTTCTGAGTGCCCAGCACTGTGCTGGCTGCTTCCACCTTGTGACCTCACATAACGGAAGGGGTCAGTGACTAGTCCAGGTCACCCAGGTTGTGTGAAGAGCTGGGGCAAGAAACCCGCCTTCTGGGGACTCTAGGAAAGGCTGGATCCTACAGGAGAGGGGAGGGGAGGGAGGGGAGGGGAGGAGGAAAGGCTGAGAAGGCAAGCACAAAGAGGGCAGGAAGGGCAGAGAGGGAGAGAGGCAGCAAGGATCAGAAGGGAGGAAAAGATCAACAAGCCCTAGCTGGTTTGGCTCAGTGGATAGAGCGTCGGCCTGCAGACCGAAGGGTCCCGGGTTCGATTCCAGTCAAGGGCACATACCTCGGTTGCAGGCTCCTCCCCGGCTTGGGCCCTGGTCAGAGCTCGTGCAGGAGGCAACCAATTGATGTGTTTCTCTCACATCGATATTTCTCTCTAGACAAACAAACAAACAAACAAACAAAAATCAATGGGAAAATATCCTCGAGTGAGGATTTTGAAAAAAAGAAAGAGAAACAAAATAGAAGAAAGTGCCAAAGGAGGGAAGTGAAGCAGCAAGAGCCTGAAGCAAGGAGAGAAGAGGGTGCGGATGGCAGAAGAGGAGGACAGAGGACTGGGGGGCGGGGAACTGGGAAGCGGTGGTGACATGGCTCCTTCTTCTGCGTGGAGGAAATGGGGACCAGGGAGGGTCCCCGACTTGCTGAAGGTCGCCAGGTGCCTCAGGCCTGGGCTGTGCCTCTCATTCTTCTTGGCAAGAAATTAGTTTGAACCCAAACATCTTGGGGGTTCCAGAGAATGAGAGACAACATTTTTTAAATTACTTTATTTTTTGAATAGATAATATATGCACACGATACAACACTCAACATGTACAAAAAGGGAAACAGCTGCCCAGTTCCTCTTCCACAGGCTCCCTGCAAGTTACCTGGTCCTTGTGTACTTTTCTAGAGATAATGTAAGCATACATACGCACACGGGCAGATGTGTTCTCTTGCTAAATTTACCCAAAAGGTAGCATAAGAACACATTGTACTTCACTCCCTCCCCCACCTCCAAAATCCATTCCACACCCATGCATACACGGTAGAGTTGTCTTGTTCTTTTGAATGACTGTATAGTATTCCACTGTTTGGATGGACTGCAACATTTTTGAATCATGAGAGACCTCATTCATGTTAAAGAGTGCACAAAGCATTTACAGTTTGAAGAATGATTATAAAGCTAACACTTATGTAACCACCATCCAGGTCAAGAAAGAAAACATTTCCAGTCCTCCAGAAACATCCGCAAAAGTCCCTTTCCAGACCCCTCCCTCTCTCTAGAAGCAACGCCATCCGAATGTTTTCAGTAATGATTTCCTTCCTTTTCTTTACAGTTTTACCACTCATGTAAATATCCCCAACACATCGTTTCGTTTTCATCTTAACAGATTTTAATCTTTATATAAAGAGAATCATAATGTAAATAGTAGGGGGATTCTGCATCTTTTTCCACCATGTCGTTGCACGTAGCTCTGGTCCGTTTTCATGGCTGTATAGTATTCCAAGTGCTAACATTTTCCATAACCAGTCTCTTATGGCTAGACATTCGGGTCTTTTCCAGTCTTGTCATTACAAATAATACAACAATCGATAAAACTTGTTAATTTACACATATGCAAGTGTATGGCTAGGATAAATTTCCAAAAGTTGAAATGCTGGGTGAGTCAAAGGGCAAGGGGTGTGTGTGCGTGTGTGTGTGTGTGTGTGTGTGTGTGTGTGTGTTTAAGCAGGGAAGTTAGAGGGGAGTGTCCACTGGAATAGTTGTCGGGGAAGAAGACTGGAGTTAAATGCTGTTTCCTGGGATAGATGGACCCGAGCAGCGGTCACCAACCTTTCGGACCTCATGGACCACCAGTGGTCTGCAGACCACCGGTTGGCAACCGCCAGACTGGAGCA